TGGGAGTAGTTTCAAGTTTGAGTTTTTAAATTATTTTAAAATAAAAACCAAAAAAAAAAATTACCAATAAAAAAACGAAAAAAGAGAAGAAAAACTACCCATTCAAATCGGGAAGTAGTTTCAAGTTGGAGTTTTAAAATAATTTTAAAATAAAAAACAAAATTAAATAAAATAATGAATTACTAATTCAAATTGGGGAGTAGTTTCAAATTGGAGTTTTAAAATTATTTTAAAATAAAAAAACAAAAAATCTATTTATATATATAATATAATATAATATAATATAATAATATATAATATAATATAATATAATATAATATAATATATGTATAATATATAATATATATAATAGGAGAGTCAAAGAAATCTATATCATCTATATATATATAATAGGAGAGGCAAAGAAATATTATAATGACAAGTGTCATAATTTCTATTAACAATATAATTATACTAAATATTGGATAATATACTAAATAAAAATACATAACGAAAAAATTATTTGATGACTATATAAGTCCCTTTAATTTAATAGAGATTTTATTTATTAAAATTTAGAAAATATCTATTCTATTTATATAGAATAGGATAATCAAATAATTGTGATAATTCCAAATGTAACATCAAAAAATTAACAAAGTGATACGATTACTAGTTTAAATAATAAACCAACCCGACCATCACTCTTATTTTATTAAAACGACCCGATATTCTTTTTTAATAAACCTCTATCTTATTTTATTAACCCACTCTCTCACCTTGCTTTCTTCTCCCAATTTCTCCTCAGCCGACCACACTACAAAGCTGGACCTCTAGGGTTTCCTTTTCAGAAACAATTCGAAGTTGTATGCTTTTTCAAGGTATGTTATCTTTCTGTCTTGTTTTCTTTTATCTATTTGTGGATTAGGTTTTTTTTTTTTTTTAAATTTTATATGTGGGGTTAGGGTTTCTTGTCTTATAATAGGGTTGTTGTTTACTGATATCTATTTGTACTTTATCCTACTAAAGAATAAAATAAAGTGAATAATGTGATGTAATTGATGATTTTGTTGTCTGGTTGTGGTCCTGCATTGAAGCCATTTATTTTTAGGTTTTTTTACGTGTGTCATGATTATGGCTTTCTACTTACTGTTGTGGACCCTCACTTGTCCATCTTTTTATACTTTGCATGTGATACAAACTGAAGATGATTGCTAAAGTGGACATGGTATTTTACTATGGGGGTAATTGGATATTTTCACATGAAATAGTGTATGATCAGAAGCATGTGTACACTTTGGCTAGTTATGATTCTTGCCTTGTCAACTATAAAAATCTGTGTGAAGAATTTACCAAAAAATTAGAATTTAGCTCAGTCGAGCAACTTTTAGTGACTGGACCTTCGGGGAGGTACTACCAGGTAACTGATGATGATGGTGACTCTTCAGTACTTATTCTCTAAAGAGTTCAATGTGATTAACTTTTTTGTTGTGGATGAGTTTGAAGCTATGGTGTTTGCTCAAATATTATTCATCATAAAGAGAAATATTCTGTAGACATTGATGCAGCTTCTAAATGTGAAAGTAGTTTGGGTGGTGGTAGTTTTGATGATTCAGAAGGTTCTGAATATGATTATTCAAAACTTAAAGCTTACTAGAAGAAAAAAAGGGTTGTAAATGATAGGTTAGAACATTTTAAGGAGTTGAGTTAGGTATAACATTTAAGGATATTGAAGAAGCTAGAAGGACATTCAACCTCTATGCATTGGCTAATAGAAGAAGGTTGCAGGTGATCAAAAACTGATTTAACTAGGGCTAGCTATAAGTGTGCTACTGGTTGTTCATTTAGATGTTATATATCACAGGATGACAATAGTGATAGCTATCAAATGAAGACATGAAAAGATGTCCATACATGTGATCCTTGCTTCAAAAATCCTAGAGTCGATCAGAATACTTTAGCACACCTATTAAAGAGAAAAGTACAGTATAATCCTCAGTATAACCTGAAGGAAATGAAAAATGATTTAGAGACTGAGTTTGAATTAAATGTGTCAATATCTAAGTTTAAAAGGCCAAGAATTTGGCACTTAGAGGGCAGTTTTATTGATGACTATAAGAAACTTGAGGCCTAGGGGCAAGAACTTAGACAATCTAATCTTGGAAAGTAGGGGGAATATTTTTTTGGAAAATAGAACCATCTCAGACAATGGAACCTCCTGATGTTTCCAAGAATGTGGGCAGACCTAGAGCAAAGAGAACCAGGGAATCAGATGAAGCAAGAAAGAGGGTTGGGGAGTGGAGTTACTCAAGAAAGGGAGTTGTGGTGAAATGCAGCAAATGTTGTGGGGAAAACCACAATATTAGGGGATGTTTCAAGGTAAAGAATTCTGATTTGGCTTCTATGATTTGTCACAACTTCTAATACATTTTTCTTGGGTGCCAGGAGAAACTAATGCAGACACTTCAAAATCAAGGAAAAGGAAACACCAGAAAGGTGGTTCAAGTCAGACCTCAGCTCTAGATTTTCGACTTGCATCTGCTGCTTCTGAAGATGAAGGAATGGACTTGGATAGTGAACCTGTGACATAACAGACACAAGAATCCTCTTATGCCACAACTGGTTTATCACAAGGCTATGGTCCTGTTATTGGTACTGATAAAGATCCACCTCTAAAGCCAATGATTATTGCTGAATCAAAAACAAGACTTGCAGTTAGAAAGCTGCATGTAAGGCCACCAACAGGATTAAGAAGAATTCAATCTTGTGAAGATGCAGATGGAGTGACAATGCCATCAAATTTGCCTTACTCACCAACTAACGCAACTTGGAAAGGGAAACCAGCTGTCACACTCAAGCAGATTCAAGATGAAGCAAAAAAAAAGAAAAAGAAATTGAAGATGGCAACAAATTGCGAAGTTTAGCAAGTTTAGGAACCTTTTTGGGGTAGATGTCCTTTTGTTAAAAACTTACATTATGGATGAAATTCTAGCTGTTGTGTTTTTGGTGATTTCAGCACTTTGGGATAGATGTTTTTAAGTTAAGAACTTACATTATGGATGAAATTCTGGATGTTGGTTTTTGGTGAATTCAAACCTTCTATTTGACTTGAAATAGTTTTATGAAAATGAATATTGTTAATGTTGTTCTGGTTGTTGTTCTGGCTGTTGGTTTGTAGTTGTTGGATTTTGCTTGTGTTGAAATGTTTTCTGTAAGAAAGCATGTGTATGTTTGTGGTTTTATCGTATAGGTTTCGAAAGAACTTATATGTATGGAGGGCATATTTGATCAAAATCGTTTAGTTGAAGGGCATATTTGATCAGATTGCATTTACACGTTGTTAACAAGTGAACCAGTTTTTTGAAACTCATTCTAAGCTGCACAATATTAGTTGAAACCATCGTTTTGGGTTAAACATTTCATCTAGATTGTTGCAAACTCATTACATTAAGATCAAATCATTACACAAGAAAAAATTACATAAAGTCATTACATTCCATTCATTCATATAATCACAAAATATGATTACATTCCATCCAATATTCAAAAGCTACATAACTTAATTATGTAATACATAACCAACAATAAACCCAACAAGGATGCACAATAACATAACAAATACATTTTCTCTCTTCTTTGCATATCTCCCATCATTTTCAGTAGAGGAAGGAAGACTATCAATAACAGAAGATACCTCCAAATCAGCAATTATATCCTCCAACAATTTAGTTTCAAGTTGAACAACAACAACTTTTTCCTTCAAATACATGGTTTCTCTCTAAAAAAATCAGCTTTTTTTTAAGTAATCATTTTCACCAACAAGAGTATCCTTTCCCCTTTTCAATTTGTTGATGACAATAGTGGCTCTTTGATGAAATTCGTCATCATCCCATTCTCAATAGCCGCATGATATTGGCTGCAATATAACAACTAAATTTGGTTATAATTCAAAAACAAAACAAAAAAACCTATAAACACAAATCTAAAAATTTAAAAGAAAACAATAACTTACATCAAGTTTATAACACTTAAAGAAATGTCTCCCAGGATTTTCAGGCGTCCACGAAGTGAGATGGAGCACAACATTTCTACATCGACAATTCCTTACACTTTGGTTAGAAGAGCTCGATGTTTGCGGCATTTCACGAATGAAGAAAAGAAATAAAAGATTAAGGTTGTTTTTAATCAAAGACTATACCCTAAGTAATGCTGAAATTGGGTCAACAATTTGGGGAAACCCCCTAATGGAGCATCTATGATGAGAGGAGAAATTGGGAGAAGAAAGCTAGGTGAGAGAGTGGGTTAATAAAATTAGAATGGGATTTATTAAAAAAGAATATCGGGTTCGCACGGTTTAACAAAGTAAGAGTGATGGATCCGATGGTTTAACAAAGTAAGAGTGATGGATCCGATTGGTTTATTATTTAAAATCAGGGTATAGATGTAACGTTCTCCAGATTGTGACATGTGTCAAAATCTGGTGCTAAATATTTTATTAGTGAGGTCTTTAAAAATAAGGCATATGTGACCCAACTTATACACGGCAAAGACAAGATTGAGTCCATCTTTAAACGACGGGCGTATGTGTACAATTTATTGGCATATCTGGGACCCTTTCCGTATATAAAGTATTTAAGTTTGGTAAACAATTTGAAGGTTGTGAAGTAGAAACAATGAATTTCAAGCGTTCGAAGAAGACCTGTTTACCGTCATCTTTCAGCTCTTAAACTATATGTATACCAAAAGTTCGGCGAGGGTCATTGTCGCGAATACCAAATTATATCACATGTATCAGCAGGCTTACTCAAGCTAAATAACCAACCTCCATCACTCGAAAGATACGATTCAATCATATCTTAGAAGATTTACAAAAACCATGAATCACCAGACACGCACCCTCCTATGTCAATAATATCCAGTAAATGAAGGTCGTGCATTAAGGCATTCAGAATGCAAATTAGTAGAAATTCAGCTCCAACCTAATTATAATTCCCTCTAATAATGGGACATTAGAGCAACCATATCGAAACAAATAATTATCCCTGAATTCTTATTCTTTAAAGCACATTGTAAGTATACAGCAAAAGATAGAAATATGTCAAAGAAAAGGCAATGCAAAGAACCAAAGGTAGACATCTAATGAAAATTCAACAAATGTGGTCATCCTGGCGGATGGACAGAAATTATTTTAACGACTTCACAGAGAAACCACACAGTTTCAGTGGTGCTTGACCTCAAAAAGCCCATCTGGACCTGCATTCACCAAAGGCCAGAGAGAAAGTATGGTATTAAAACATTGTGTAGCCAGACAGAAGATCTAAATGCAAACACAAATATGGCAAACATGGATATTACATCCTCAGAGAGATGTATACCACCGAAACTGTATAATAACATGCTATAAGCACTGAATTAATTATTAAAATAATGAGAATACGTGAAATCATGGTTAAATTGAAAACAAGGCCTGTAGCACAGGCAATTCAGAGCTTGGATTGATCAACCAAAACAGGAATAGATATGCAGCAGAACATGACATTCTTGATTTCAGCTCACAGTTTCCAATTCCCAACAGATGCAACTAGAAAAAAAATCCAGTCATTTCATTATCTGGGGATGGTGCCGACAATATGTAATTAGTTCAACAAATCACATAATCAATTTATGCAATTCCAAAAGGGACTAGGGATCAAGAGAGCAATCACATAGGTAAAATCTTGAAGAGCAAAATGCATATATTGTACCTAGTTTCAAGGGCCATGCAAATTTTGTCCTACATTTTTGAATTGTTCATATAATGCACTATCTTCTAAAACTTTATGTGAGATTGAGACAAATTCTAGCTTTAATTAGTGTAATTGTAAAAGACTACTTGGAGGCACATGATCCAAATCTTTCTTAGTTCAGTATTTGCAAATAATTGTTTGACAATCAGTAATTGCAAATTTTGAGCTATACTATTTAAAATTCTGGTGAAATGTTGAAAAACCTGTTGAGCATTTCAAGTGAAATAATGATTTTCATTCACAAAACGTCAACTTTTTTTCCGGATGAAATGCATATCCAAACATAACAACATCCAAATACTCTTTCAACTTCAACCAAATATGGTCCAAACGCCAACTTAATTTTTTAAACCATCACGTTTAAATAAGTTAATCCATAAAGTAAGAGTCCGTAACATGAAATTATCGAGAAGCAAAATGAAAAAATGACTTATGTCACATAATTACCCCATGGAAATTCCTTGTTGCGAATGTGCAGATATGAGTAAGCCTGCGAGCAGAATAAGCAACAGTATAATTGAAGTTGTAATATTAAGTCGCACAGGATGAGGGAAACGACATATTACACACTTGACTTCAAAAGCATATGACAATAGAACGGTTTCCCACATTGTCATCGTGAAGTTAACAGATCGAGACACTTTACTCCTGCAACTATCCTTTTAATCCCATCAAGCCACTTCCCTTTGTGCAACCCCAAATAAATCACCAAAACATGCATAACAGGAGTAAACCTTGTCGGGAATAAAAGTTAGATATTTGCTTCTCAGGAGGCCACTTGCAGCAAGTGTCTCTATACTATGACTCAACTGTTCAAAAGTCTCTTCTATAACAGAAATCCCGCAAACCCTTTAAATAAGAGAAAAAAATGAAGAAGCTACTCCGCTCATATCAATTTAACTTCTCAACTACTATTTTAATATTTTATTCAACTACCACTTATATAACACGAGTCAAATTGTCACATAACATAGAATTGCTGGAATAACAATCTACCATTTCTTTTCTTTTTTCCTGATAAGTACATTCTACCCTTTCTTTACATTGGATCTATCAACAAATAATGAAAATTTAACAATATGAAATTAAAACCATATTCCCCCTATTTTGTCTTTCTTAAAGAAGACATTCATACTCTTCTTTAACTGCACCTCCCTACTTACTGTTTCCTACTACCCCCGCCAACCCTATTGCGCTTTATCCACTATTTTTAGGGCGTTGATATCTTGCTTCAAATAGTATTGTTAACTACCTTCTTAAATTATTAGAGTTTCTCAAGCATAGAAGAGGAATAACTGAGAGATTTCAGAATAGAGAGAACTTATGTCATCTTATTCATAGTTGTATATATTATCGATGAAAACCAACCAAAACCTCCATTATGGATTTATAATGTTCTGTCACAATTCTCTTTTTGAATTAATACAAAAGAAACTTAAATATCTTCCTTGCATTCGTAAGTGTTGGCAATTTTCCAGCTGCTTAAACCTTTTAAGGCTGACGGCTCATCATGAATATGTGATATATTTCTTCACATTGCACTTATGTGGTGAATTCATTGTTTCTAGGCCATTAAGAGGATTTTTTCCACTACGTGAAGGGAAGTGAAAATCCCTCCGATCGATAATGCCAATATGACTTTCTAATTTTAGCCTAAGGTCAGCATCTAAAATTGAAAGAGAGACAGAGGAACATACTGTTGAACACAAAAAGTTCAGATTCCTGACATTAAATAAATTAAAAGAACTTCAAAGAAAATGCTTACAGGAGGCTCATCAGAGTGAGGGTGACCCTTTGACAGACAAATCGCAGCAAGAATAGAGCAGGAAACTATTCCAACATAAGTAATTTTCTCCCACTTAGAGGCTTCACCTGGCCACATCATAAAAGATACACATCCAAGTTAATCACTTTAAGCACAACGAATCAAGCAACTAGGACTAATCGCAAACTAGTTAGGATCAGCTATACATATCTTCTATATTAATTCTGCTCAGCCCAATTTTATTCCAAGAAACTTGTCTTTTCTACAGAATGTAACTCTAATTCAATTTCACTTTAATTACATTCCAATAAAACATGTAAATATAGCACTTTAAACACAACAAATCAATCAACTGAGCCTCAATCCCAAACTAGTCAGGATACGCTACAAAAGTCTTCTTTACTAATTCGGCTCAGGCAAATTTTATTCCAACATCTTGCCTTCTTTTATGAAATGTAACTCTAAGTCAATTTCACTTAATTACATTCCAATAAAACATGTAAATACAGCATACACGGAGCATAAGATCTAGATAAAGTGAATAAACAATAGCATATGAAAGCGCATCCAGAAAGAAGAAAAAGCTGTATATTGAAAATTAAAGATCGGATTCAAAGCAGTACGAATGAATAAAACCTAATTCAAATTAAAAATGAATGAGACTACATACGGGCCTCTTCCTCAACGGATGAGTGAGAAGAGAAGGTCCTCTTGGAAGCCGGAGTTACACGAGAAGCGCCGCCGCGGAGGGCGGAGCGAATACTAGATCTGAACATCGCCGTCGCCATTTAGGGATTTCTCTTGTTCTCTGTGCTGGTGGATTGAACTTTCCGTCTCTGTGTAGACTACTGCCCTTGCCCTTGTTAAACACCAAATTCGCACGCTTTCCGTTCTCGCGCGTGTGAAGATCTTTTAAGGGCCGGGTTTGTAGCCCACTTGGACTGTTGACTAAGTTTAAGGTAGCGTTTGCTCGAGAATTTCCAAAAGGGATTTTTACTTCCTATACAATATTTAAAATTTTATTACCCTCTCTAATCAAATTTTAATTTAATTATATGGTCATATACAATTTACTAATTATATACAAATTAGTTTTAAATGAGTATCCCTTTATATTAGGAATTGAATAAGGAATCATTTATTTTTCATCCTTGTTCTCTCTCCCATCTCTCTCTCCGCCTCTCTCTGTCTCTCAATCTCTCATTCTCTGTTCTTTCCCCAATTTTTCTTCCTAGAATTTTAATGTTCTCTATTTTTTGTATATAGTTTTGATGAATTTCAATCGTTTTACTATAGAGTTCTAACTTAGCAATTTCATTTCATGTTGCACAATTAGTGTTCAAATTTAAATTGTCAATCAATAAATTTTGAAGGTGTTTGACTCTCCACCATTGATAGCCATTAAAAAGCTTTAAAGCTTTGAATTCGAATTTGAGTTTTCAAAAATCATTATTTGTTTGGATATGGTGTTGTTGTAAACAATTGAGAATATTATTTGGAGTTTATATCTCAATTTTGAGGGTGTTTGGTGAAGATTAGACTTGATTTTGGTTGAGTTTAAGATTGAAACTCGAAGAAGACGAAAAAGAACACATGATATACAATTGTGATGACCCGATAGGTCACCTTATGTTTTAGAACCTAATTCTGTGTTTCGAAGCCTAAAATACATTATTTTAGCCTTCCTCGATTTGCGTGCGTAGTCCATGTATTTTTTCGAAAAGCTTTTATGTTAAAAACTAATAAAATATGAAATTTTGCTTCAAAAAATCCATTTGAGTTGACTTCGGTCAACATTTTGAGCAAACGGACCGGGATTCATATTTTGACGGTCTCGGTGGGTCCGTATTGTTGGACCCAAATCCGTTCCCTAGTCCAACACGGACCAAAAGGAGTCAAAGAATATGTTGCTGCCTCAAAACTTGACCAGCATCCTATTCTTGCCACACGAGAGGAACAATTTATCACCCTCCAAATCCTAGATGATTTTCCCAGACAATGGAGAGATCATGGTTTTACCCATATCCATTTTGGTGTTATCCAAATCGCTTTAACATATCACGGAAGAAAAGGTCAACGTGTTGTAGCTCGATTTTCTCTTCTAGATACAAGATACTTGGAGTACCAACATGCAAATTTAGGAACTGCAGATGTTACCTTGAATGCTGGGACTGTCTTCATAACTATCTTTCCAAATTTTAATATGTTCCTTTATGACCCATACTTAACTGAAGCACTAAAAATCCAAGTCCAAATCCAAGGAGCCCCACAAGCCAAAGATTCTATCCAAGCCACTCTTCATCACCAAATGGCATGACAGGTACAAAATCACGCCATGGATCGCTGCCTTCCTAGAGGAGAAAATGCTTTACTCTTGAATATTGATGCTACCAAAGGAAACACCATGTGCACCCAAATACCCAGACAATTTTCTAGAGATGAACTAGTTAGAATTCTTCCTGATTCCCGGATCACAAATTATGAAAAGTTAAGGGTACCATAAGAATCTCTGCAATCTGGTGAGCCAACTTTTACCAAAAGAAATGACAAAATTGTTTCCATAAGCTTTGACCATTCCCATCTCAAAAAACCCAATAAAACCATCTTTTCTTGCCAAATGATCCAACCCAAAGATACATCCTGAAAGTGAACCCTTCTGAAATATACAAACTATCATGGAAGAACATGACTGGTGTCAACATTTTGACAAAGAAGGAAAACGAGTTTGGTGGTTCAAATGCCCCTTTACGCTCTTGGGATCTTGGTTGTGACTGCCAAGACTGTTTGGAAGACCCAATTGAAGAATATGATGAACACCACCTGCGTCATGGGGAAGATTTTGCCCCAACGATACCAAAACAAAATCCAAGAAAAAAAGGAAAAACCACTGACAAGCAATTTCGAGCCAAATACGAAAACAAAGATCTTTCAATTGGCTCATTAAGCCGTCCAGGTAAATATGAATTTCTTGTCAGTTACAAACCCTAGGAATGGCCAAAATTACCAGAAAAATTCACTCCAAGCTGGGAAGATAGTGAAACCAGACCCAAACTCAAACCACCATCAGCTCATACCCTAGATCCAAAAAGCCACCTAAACCTAAAACTTCACCAACTCAAAAAACCCCAAATTCTAGATTACCACAGATATTCATGCTAAGCCCTTCAAGCTCCAGTCATACCCAAGATTTTCCTTCACTTCAACCTTTTGAAAAAGAGGGTATAAGCCATGCTCCAAAAATCCCCAAGAAAAATATAGTTCTACCTACTGGAGAAAAAAAACCCCGACAAGTGATATCGAGGCAACAATGAACTTGCAGTCAGAAAATTCCATCTGCCAAAATAAAGTGCTGAACAACATTGGCAACACCATAAAGAACGTGGCCCATACACAAAACAAAATGATGAGCAAAGTGGAAACAATTGAGAAAAAGGTGGAGCAGACATCGTCTCATCATGCAGGACTAATCAAAGCCTTACATTATGGGATTTGTTCGCCAAGAACTTCACTTTTCCAATTCTTCCAACAACAACAAAAGGAGACGATTTCCATCAGAGAACAAATTCAACTTTTGAGAAATGACCTCTTTGAGTCACAAAAGACCCCAATTTTCCCCTCAAAACCTACCTTCTTCCCTATGTCGCCACAAGCATATTTCCCACCAAAATTGGACTACACCTTTTCTACTTTTCCAACTACCTCACAAAATCCTATTTCTTTTACCTAATCCTTAAAAGAAGAACATGATTTTGACATTGCAAAAATGGTTTGGGAAAGAAAAGATGCTCTTGCAGCACAAAAACAAACAAAAAAGGCGAGATCATGGTGAAAGTTCAAAAGGGTCCAACCCCGAAAATCTGATGATTTCTGATTAGAAGGCTCCAGATCTCTATGTCTCCCAACCAAGAAACATGTTAGAAGGAGATACCACATGCTCAGAATCCCTAAATTCATCAGACGATGAAACAATGGAAGATAGCTCTCAATCAAGTAATGGATCCATAACAAACTCTTCCGAAGATGACGTTCCCCCAATGTTTATAAACCAGCCAAGAGGCCAGAAATATCTGAAGTAGATGAGGAACAAGAAGGCATGACAGATGAACAAATCCCAGAAAGAAGATATGAGCCATGGTGTCAAAACCAGTTGGAACTGGTTTCCATACTTTCTCCTTAGATGACGTTAAGGTTTCAAAATGTCCTCAAAGGATCCAAGACTTCTATACTTGGATGGTGACCAAAAATCTGGTGGAACGAGAAAAGTATATCATCCTGTCAGAACTTACTTCACGGCTCTCAAGAATCCTCAGAGATTAGTGGAACTCAATTGGGATTCAAGACAAAAATACTTTTATTACTTCCCAGGACTTTACCTTCAACATCAGAATCTTACATGAAGTTTTCTGTGGATATACTGGCCAAAAATAAGAAAAGATACGAAGACAACTCTTCGAGATGAAGTGTGTGTCACTCAACAGAAATGACATTGACAAGCATTTTAAAAAAATGGCGAAGATATACTTCAAGATCGGTGGAGACATCAATCTGAAGCAAGCCTTTGTCTCATCCCTTCCAAAGTTGTTGGCAAGCCGAACCATGACCATCATTGAAGAAAAGTTTCAGTCCATAACAATCCTACAAGTTGGCTACATCAGGCAAGCTATTTTCGTCGCATTGGATGACATTTGTACGAAGCGCTCTTCCCTAAAATAAATTATCCAACACAATCCAGCGCTTGACAAAGCATGCCACATATTTGATCTGATCATCAAATCAGGATGTTCCTACCACACATCTAGGCGATGAAGAGTATTCAGGAGGTTCAGATGGCCAAGAGTTCTAGATGGGAAATCAAGATCCAGGAGGCGCACAAAATATTTCAGACAAAGGAGACCATGAAATTTTCACAAAAAGAACAGATGCTTTATTTTCCACAAGATTGGACATTCGCAAGTAATTGTTCTCAATCGAGGAAATCCGTCAAACTCTTGCAAGAAACTGAAGATTACACTGGCATACATCTCGAAAAAGAAGAAGACCTCGAGTCCATATTCTCTATGGACGATGAACCCACTGAAGACACCTTATTCTCTCTTGATATATACGAAGATCATGGTGATGACCACTATCAAATTTCAGAACTAGCAGCTAAAGCCCAAGAAGAGATCAACGCTCTCATAGTCATGCCTCAAGTGGAACTCAAGGTTTATTCATCCAAATGGGATAAACCAACTCGAGTCATTGCTTTTATTGACACTGGAGCTGCTTGTTAACTCATGAATCCTGCTGTTCTCCTGGAAGATCAATGGGTGCCGCACTTTAAGGATTTCAACACTGCATCAAATGGAATCTTGACTACCACCGTCATCACAAAGCACCCGGTAACAATCGAGTTATTTCCAGGATTAAAGTACACAACCAAGACGATAAGGTCCGATGTACCAGGGAAAGATCTTATTGTTGGATTCGACATTTTTAGACAACTAAAAGATCAACTCCATATCAGGGCTAATGGAAAAACCTTTATGAAGCAGTTTAAATCTTATCTGAAATTCCAAGGCTATTACAAATCACCAACGACGAACAAATCAAAGAGATTGAAGAAAATCTCATTGAGCATTCACGTGCTGAATCCTACAAGGATTTTATGAAGAAAGAGAAAAGACCGTTATGGATGAACGAGAGTTTTATATCAAGCTCCCTTTTAAGAAGAATGAAAACATCAATCCAACAAAAGCCAATCATTCAGGCATGAATCTAGATCATCTTCAGCTTGCAAAGAAAGAATGCGAGAACTTTTGGAATTTGATCTAATAGAGCCATCGGATTCACAATGGGTATGCGAAGCATTTTATGTCAACAAATTAGCGGAGCAAA